GTGTTGGAAGAAGTGTAGCCAGAGTGCTCCTTGGAGGCCAGGATGGCCAAACTTCATCTCTCATACTTCAGACTTATTGTCAGGAGGGACCAGTCACTGGAGAAGGATATCATGTTTGGTAGGGTGGAGAGTCAGAAAAAAGAGGATGGATTGGCAAAGCGGCAGCATCTATGGGCTCATGCATGGCAACAATACTGAGGTTGGCCCAGGATCGGGCAGTGTTTCATTCTGTTGTACATAGGGTCGCTATGAGTTGGTACCGACTTGTTGGCACCTAACAACCAGTGACACCTTGGAAGACAGGCCTAGTGATCTTCTTCCAAAAGGTCACAGTCTTAAAAACACTGTGGAACAATTCTGTTCTGAACACAAGGGGTCACTGTGAGTCAGATTCCACTCTAAGGCAATTAACAACAACAACAATGATGTCTATATTGCTAGGCATTGTCCTAGGTGCTTTGTATATGTTATTAACACATGGCAATGTGTTAATGGGATCTTATCCCCTTTTTACTGATGAGGAAAGTGAGGCTCAAAAAGGTAAAGAAATTCGCCAAAGGGTACCACGATGGTGAAGCCAGGATTGAACCCAGGTGGTTTGGCTCCAGTTCTGAGGCTTCTAACCACTGCATCTCAAATCCAATCTGAAAACCCAGACAAGTAAGGTTTTCCCAAGATCACAAAGCTGGGAGGTGATGGTGCTTAAGATGCACCTATATTCTATACTTTCCAAGTGCATTCAACTCAGCCAGAAATAATATATCAGGGTGAGTTCGTATCATAACCTTATACATATTTTTATGTTTTATCAATAATATCTGAAATCATGATTCTAGTAAACTAAAATATCCAAAGGACCAGTAGAATGTGAAGATTTGCTCATTTTTATACATTATTCTTGTCTAGAAGGATTCCTGGTTTCACACCGGTTTAAGTGTTAGGCTGCTAATGGAAAACTTGATTTGAACCCATCAGCTGCTTCACAGGAGAAAGATGAGATTGTCCAGTCCCACAACGATTTACAGCCTTTAAAACCTACTGAGCAGGGTCACTAAGGGTCAGAGCCTTGGGATTGGTGGCCCAATACCTAGCCCACAGCTCTACCAGGGTGCCAGTACACTGAAGAGGAGGTTGTTAAGAAAAAGAAAAAAAAAACAAAAAACAAAGAAAGAAATCCGTTCTTTAAACTTATATTTTGTAGGACACAGTAGACAGTGGTTTAGTCCCCTCTCTGACTCTTTAACTCGCCATGTGATCTTGAGTAAATAAGTCACCTCCCTTCTCCTGGGCTCATTTCCTCTTATGTAAAGGGAGGGAATG